ACTACCTCAGAGACAGCTTTCAATCATATAACATAATTAGAGAGAATTGACCTTAGCTGGGTTAATACACTTAAATAAAATACACTTTGAAATTTGTCGTATTTAATAAATGATGCAATCATAAACCTTATACTGTTTCACCAGAAGTTTATGTGATAGACCAAAAAAAAAAATTAATTAGCTGTGAAATGGAAGTGAAACGGATGGTCTTTCTTTCAGTACTCATCTACTGAATAAATGAATAGATGAATCCAGCTATTCTAGAAAGAATTAGGGTTTTGGGAGAGAAATAACAATTAAACAAATAGTATGATAAAGACAGAGGGATGCAGCAGGAAAGGGATGAAGTTTCAATGCAGGGTTAGATTGTAAACAATTAACCAAGCTTTAAACATTTAACACATTCAACCCACAGGAAACCTAACCTCCTTCTAAGTTAGAATTGGGCGCTAGTTGGGTTCATTGAACAGCTTTCTGAAATACAGAAAGCTGTGTGTATTACATTTGGAGACAAAAGCTATGTTAGAACAAAACATATTTTCTGGTACAAAGAAAAATGCTCGAATAACATAGAAGTTGCAAATTAAAAAGATGCAAATAAATAAATAAATAGAAACATTTCTAAGAAAAGATTTCCAATAAAAATATTCCCTCTTTACAGAAGATCAGCAGAAGAACTGTTGACTAAAGAATTATTATAAAGAAAAAAGAACAGAAAAAATAATCTGAAAGACAAAACTGAGCATGGACCCAATGCTGGGAAACAACCTTCAACAGCGCCCATACGAGGCTCGTCAGTTTCAGCACTGGACAGGGCCTGTGGTGACTGCACAGCAGAGGCAGACAATTCGCCAGCCATTTCAGCACTGGACAGGGCCTGTGGTGACTGCACAGCAGGGGCAGACATGTTAATTGTTTTGGCTGAGGGCTTCTGGGGGGCTGCACATTACTCAACCTGTGAAACCCGTCCATTGAATTCTTGCCAATATTTCAGAATTTACCCCTTTGCCATTGACCAGCACTTCAGACAGGACCCTAACTCCTTCAACAGCGCCCATACAAGGCTCCTCAGGTTCAGCACTGGACAGTGCCTGTGGTGACTGCACAGTAGTGGCAGACAAGGTGCCAGCCATTTCAGCACTGGACAGTACCACCCCAGGTTAAATCAGGTTCAGCACTGGACAGTGCCTGTGGTGACTGCACAGTAGTGGCAGACAAGGTGCCAGCCATTTCAGCACTGGACAGTACCACCCCAGGTTAAATCAGGTTCAGCACTGGACAGGGCCTGTGGTGACTGCACAGCAGTGGCAGACAAGGTGCCAGCCATTTCAGCACTGGACAGTACCACCCAAGGTTAAATCAGGTTCAGCACTGGACAGGGCCTGTGGTGACCGCACAGCAGTGGCAGACAAGGTGCCAGCCATTTCAGCACTGGACAGTACCACCACAGGTTAAATCAGGTTCAGCACTGGACAGGGCCTGTGGTGACTGCACAGCAGGGGCAGACAAGGCGCCAGCCATTTCAGCACTGGACAGTACCACCACAGGTTAAATCAGGTTCAGCACTGACTGCACAGCAGGGGCAGACAAGTTAATTGTTTTGGCTGAGGGCTTCTGGGGGGCTGCACATCACTCAACCTGTGAAACCCATCCATCAAATTCTTTCCAATATTTCAGAATTTAACCCTTTGCCATTAACCAGCACTTCAGACAGGACCCTAACTCCTTCAACAGTGTTATACTGTTTAGATAAAGGAGGACAGTGACAGAAAAAGATGAAGACTTCTCCACATCTCACTTTGATGCAACACTCCCATCCAACAACCAGCCTCTGTCAAGACCCCCTGTCTGGACTTCCGATCACTGATGAAGATGAAGATGCAAATATGCTGTTTTACTGTCAGATCAGTAAAAATCTGAAGACAGTGTCTTCCCCTCAAGCCACTCACATCTCTAGCAAGTATCTGGAGATGTGTGAGGTCTCCTGTTGAAAGGGTTTCAATGGCCCACTGCATTTGGCCTACTGGGCAAATAGGTTGGCAGATGATGGACCAGCTCCACTACCCTGGGATTTTCGCCCGGATCTGCCTTCAACAACATCAAACTCAGACATCTTTAAGAAGCTAACAGTGCTGACCTTTACCTGTCATTGAATCACCTTTCCCCCTAGGGGTGTGTTCCCTTCTCTCTTTTTCTCTCGATGCATCAATTACTGCATCAAAGCAGACCAAACCGAGAATCTTCTGTAGCTCAACCTGCTGAGGACAGTGGATATGATACTGGACCTGCAGAGAGCAGCCCCCATATGTGCTCCCCTCACCACCCTCAACAACACTGGATCACTTGGTCCTCACATTCAACATCACCCTCATCTCGTTAAAAATACAATACTGTGGCAGATCACAAGGTTGGCTCCACTCGCACGCATATGAGTGGAGTATATAAAGTTTGTTGGCAGTAAATCTGATTCTTAGACTAGTTTTAGTTGCCCAGCAGATTTGATAGAAAAGCAGCTTAGGTAGATGTGTTGAGTTTAATGGCCTGAGGACATCTAGGAGAAAGAGACAGGACCTCCGATCTCCTTTAACATGGCTCTCATCTGGAACCTCAGAGGACCTGGCCCTGCCATTAGTCCCTGATGCTGAGTCAGGTTAGATACTGAAACTAGGCTCTCAAGGTCAAAAGTATTTCTGGCTCAGCTGTGTTTGTTAATGGGGGGCAGAACCTGCCAGCTGGTTTACACCTACGGGAAAAATCATCTGAGCAAAAGGAAGATAAGATGACAGAGTGCTTGTTGAACCTGGATTTATTTCATTAATGGACTGATATCCTCCTCTCTGCAGCCACACACACAGTTTTCATACACCCACAGCCATGCCATCACCGTTAGCCTACATCTGCCCTATTTACTAACCTTAACTATTATTCATCTGTCAGGATTGTGTTCACTCTATTAATCTATAATTGATGGGCATTCATTAGGAAGGGAGCAGAGAGGTGGGGGATCATGTATTATTCACAACAAGCTCAGGGTGGCCACTTGCTATTACTTTTTCTACTTTATTACAGTAGGGAGCAATAAAAAAGGGACGGGTGGAAGATGAAGAAGAGGACAATAGTGCAGGGAGGGGAAAAGAACAACATGTGGGAATGCAGGCAGCAGTGGACCTCATCATGATTACTACCCTGAACATGGGTATTTATTTTCTTTCTCATTATAACTGTCTGAGCATGCTCAGTGTTTGTTCAGCCAGAGGAAGACGATTACTTGGCTTAAGCCTTCCTCTAACAGCTTGGGAATCACTGGCTGCCCTTTCTCTGTGAACGTGACAGATTTAGGATCTTATATATATATATATATATATATATATATATATATATATATATATATATATATATATATATATATATATATATATATATATATATATATATATATATCCATCCCCAATATATATATTTATAGGTCATTGTTTTGTCTCAACCTCCATGGTGCAGCTCTTCTTTCTAGGAATCTGGCCGAATTTATCAGTACTCCAAAACCACTGACAACCCAGGGTGCAGACCAGGAAGCAGAGTCGTATTTTAACACACCTCTCTGCAGTTTCTCTACTGTTACCCGCCCATTACTCCATCCAGACAGTGTCTTGCCCACAACAAATTAGAAGAGATTCCCAAAGGAGTAAATCATAATAATCTACTTAAAATACAAATAATTTAAATTAAGGAAAAAGTTAAAACGATTAAATCTGGTTTAGTTAACATAAGATCTCTTTCTTTAAAAGTCTGCTAGTTAATGACTTGATTTGTGATAATCACATTGATTTATGTTGCCTTACAAAAGCTTGGCTGCAGTAAGAGGATTATGTAAGCATAAATGAGGCAACTCCTTCTAGTTTTTTAAATTTTCACATAGCCTGCCTTCGAGTCAATGAGTCGATGCAATCAACTGGTTTTCCTTCGTTTTCAATTTGACTGTACGACCTGGTTGAACTGTAAAGTGCCTTGAGATGACGTGTTGTGAATTGGCGCTATATAAATAAACTGAATTGAATTGACCTTTGTAAGTATTTTACTTATGGATTTCAAGCCTGCAGCATTATATTCTTTTTTAATATAAAAACGAATTATTATTCAAAACACTATCCTTTTTTTTAAGTAACCCATCCTATGTGGCTTGACTGCAGCTACTCTTAATCCTGATTCTATAATTTCCACACCTCAATGCAGACAATTATCTTAAAAGCCTATATGTTTAATGAGTAACTTAACTTTTGCTTCATGTAAGGAACCGGAGAAGTTTTACCCTTGCTGGGTAATTGCAAAACTGAGTAATTGAGCTGAATAATTTTCCCACTAATCACATTCATGCGTACAACAACAGTACAGTAATAACTCTGTAAAGGAAATGAAGCTTGGTTAAAGTTAAATCCGTGAAAACAATCTTATGCATGAACAACCTTTAGACTATCTCACGTAAGACTGATGAACATTTCCTCTCCTGTTAAACTCACCCAATTTTAATAAAGGATTCCTTTTCTGTGCAACCAGCTTCCATTCCACTATCAGATCCATTAAAACCTTCAGATCAACCAAAGTCTTTGGAGACTTTTACTAAAATGATTAATGCCTTTTTATATTACAGTACAATATGTTTAGTTTATCTAGCCCATCAATTATTTAAACTAATATATGCTGTTCAGTCTTTAGAGTTATTTTCACTATTTTCTCTTATTTATCCATTTTTAGGCCATTTCACAGTAACTCATATGTCTCACATGGAGTGAATCCTTTAGCAAATTTTACACAGGAAGGAGCACCCCACTGAGCAGAAATCTATAAAATTATGATGTGACACATCCAGGCCATGATCACTGGTTTAATGGAGCGCTAAGCCGCCTCACCAGCCAAGGCAATGCGACAAACAAAAAGAATCATAGAAATACAACAGCTGCAAAAATCCTAAAAACATTTAACATTTAATTATTGTGTCCATTTACCTGATGGTCTTTCCCTCCCTCAGGTCGTATAGAGAAAAAAATATATCTGTGTCTTCCCCTATGCTGTTGTAGGTGAAGCTCTTCAGGTTGACCAATAGGTGGTGAGGAACAGGAACCCTGCTGGGTTCTCCATGTCTCTGTCGACTATTCTCACCCTGAGAATCAAAATAATATCAATAAATAAAATCAAAATAACAACGCATTAATCAATCATTTCAGGATCTTTCAGGACATGTGCATAAGCTCAATCTGAAAAACTCACACGAAGAGAAAAGACAATTAGGAGAAATTTATGATACAGTTACTTTGTCTTTGGCACTCAGACCTCGGCAGGAAACATAGCGTTTAATTTTGATAGATATGCATGTACAAGAGCACAGAATAGGGCTGTTTCCTCCCAGGCCTGGACTGGTGGTGGAGTGGAGATAGTTGAAGTTGGTCAGTCTGTAGACTGCTGGTTACTGAGACGGTATCCCGAGCTTAATGGGGAGATCCAGTGGATTGCGTGAACTGATACTACAGCTTCAGTCAGGGACCTGGAAGATGGAAGTCCAGTAGGATAAAACAGGTTGAGAGAACCTGTCCATGATGAGCAAGAATGGAGCGATAGTGGAGAGGAAAAACTCCCTGTCGGGAAGAAACTTCTGGCAAAACCAGGCTCAACATGGCTGTCTTCTGCCGGACCGGTTGCAATGAGACAGGGAACGCAGTGAGAGTCCGGGAGGAATGACACTCTGATTAAGCTTTACTGTAGCTACGAAGGTGGAGGAGAGGCACAGTGCAATGAAGTCACACAGTGCATCCGCCGCCCGCGCACAGGAGCAGACAGGTGCATATTGGAGACCTTTTAGGATGAACTTTGGATGCCGATTGTTTTTTGTAGAGGTGTGGCTCAAAGCTGATTGGCTGTGTCGCAGGTGGATGAAGGAGAGCAATAAGTTTCTTCAGTTGAACTTCCACCTAGGCTCCATTTAGTGCCTCCATCTGGTGCTTATCTGAGTAAAGTTTTAAACTGTTAGGTCTTTGAATTACCTATGCATGAAAGGGAGATTATTTGAATTCAAAATAAACCCTAAAGTTGGTTATAAATTTTATTTTAGGTAAAGTAAAAAATTAGAATTGTATTAACATTTCTTTAGGCTGCTCCACTGAGATTATTTAAGAATAAAATAACTATTTCACAACTGTTTAACAGATACAGTACCATTCAACTATTTGTAACAGTTTCTATGGAGTGACAAATCTTTAGTAAAAACTTTTAGTTTGTCAATGTTTTCCTCAAGGATGGACCTAAAAACTCTGAGCTGAGTGACTTTTTAATTCACAATCATTACCTTAATGTGTAGAGGACTGTTTGGAAACCATTATTTAGCTAAGCATGCATTGATGTTCTTCACATCCACATTATGGCCTCGCAGATGGAGTCTGATATTTACTAAGATCACATCTAGATGAAAACAGGAACATTTGAAGCTCATGGTTGACCAAAGGTATTAGAAGAAGCATGAAAATTATTTTTGCAACTCATCTTCCTTCCTTCCTTCCTTCCTTCCTTCCTTCCTTCCTTCCTTCCTTCCTTCCTTCCTTCCTTCCTTCCTTCCTTCCTTCCTTCCTTCCTTCCTTCCTTCCTTCCTTCCTTCCTTCCTTCCTTCCTTCCTTCCTTCCTTGCATTTATATATAAACAAACCTGTGTCTAAATGACAATAACTGTATGGCTTCCTGTTGATGGGCAGTCTTAGTTTTGGCTTAGCGCTGCATGTGTTAGGTAGGACAAACATATAAATGGGTCTAAAAAAACAAAGAATGAATGGGCAATTCAGCAAAATTACAGAATCAAAGACATGAAGCTCCACAGAGCCGGTAATGGAAACATTACCTGAGTGGAGCTCTGCTGGACGCTGTGTCTGCTGGACAGATGCTGTAAAAGAGACAGAAACATTAGGTATTTCTCTGCTTGTTCAGTTTAATCTTTTAAGCCTTTTCTTTTAAATGCCTTTTATTTCATACCACACATGTATAATGTCAGCTCTTCCTCGTTTTCTTTTATTTAAACATGGGTATTCTTAATTCCCTTTTTTCTGAATCTATCCTCTCAATTCCTCTACTAGACATTTTTCTTCTCTCCTCATTTCTCTTCATTTCCTTCTGAGTTTTCTTTTCCTGATCTGCTTTTTTACAGCCATGGTTCTCTTTCTTCTCTCCACCCGCAACCTCAGATGATGAAAATATTTTAATACCCCTGAGACTCATTACTCCAACTTGTCTCCTTAATTTGTCAAGTGGTTCGTTGAGTAGAGAGGAAGCAATAAGTCAAACTCTGTTTGATGAATGAGGGTAAGGACCATCAGTGACAAGACAACTCCAATTATTCCACGCTGAGAGAAACCAGCACCCGTCTGCTAACGTATTCTCTTGTTTCACTGTAAAACTAAGTTTTCAATGAATCAGAGAGGATTGTTTATGTAACAACGACATGTATAACAGGAAGACAATTTTGTTGATGCTCATGATCAAACTGCGGAATTAAAAACAACTATTTAACAAATAGGGAACAAATGTGGATTTTTTTTAGCCAGCTCCTTTATCCATTTGCATGTATTTAATCTAAAAAACTAAGAAAATGTAAAAATGAATTAATAAAGATGTAGTGTTCCCCATATTAATCAATGGCGCAACCCTTCCACTCCAATGAAAACCCCCACTCTACAAGAGGATCATGGCATGTACTGATCAAAGCTGTTCACGGTTAATGTTTTTACATTTATTAACAACCCTAAATGACGCCGTATCAGATCATGCCCTATTTCTATCCAGTAAAGCATGCTTTATACTCTGTTAACCACATAGGCTCAAATGTGCTTGCACACAGGTGACTTTATTTAAGTTAGCAAAAAAATCCTAAAAATAAAGAAAAAATACATATATTCTTAAAAGTAAAGACACAAAATCTAGAGAAAATATGTATTTAAAGTTAAAAAAGATACACATGTACACAGTTTTCCTGTTCTGTTTCTACACTAATATACATCTACTTTTACCAGGCCAAGAAAAATACAAATAAGTTGAATATTTTACGTACTGTTTTTGTTGGGGTAGTACATTCCATAAACTTATTTTACTCTAGTATTTGTGTTCTAACACTAAATTCTATCAAGGGCTGGGTAGCAGTTATAGGTTTAAAATGAGTTTGCTGCCACAAAGAGGATAAGAGAAACTTCCAGTTGGGATGCAGATCTAGGCATGCAAGTAAAAGTAAGCACTTTCCTAAGCAAATTTATCGTTAAGTCCTGCAACAATGGACCCTGGACAAGCAAGGTTTCAAGTTAATGAAAAAACACTGAAACCCTGGAGAGAAAAATCTACGTGCTTTTTGTTACTGAAAAGGAAACATTTTATAAAATCACAATATTGGTTAAAAATAATTGCATTTAAAATTTTAGGCAAAATCTTTCTAAACTAATTCTATAATGTTTATTATTGTTGCTGTTACTGTTATAAGTGGCTGAAGGGGGGAGTGTTAGTCATGGTTACTGGAGTTGGTGCAGAGGGAAAGGATGATGCCAGTATGAGGAATGAGGAGGAGAGAAAGGAGGAGGAAAAGAAAAATGACAGAAGACAGTGAGAAGAAGATGGTAAAAGGAGAAGGAGAAGCAAGACAGTCGAGCAGGAACCACCAATATAAACGTACTTCCAGGTAGAGGTTCAGTGTACATTACTCGGGTGGTATTGTTTTTTTTTTTTTTTATAGGGATTATATTATTCTTTAGAAGTCATATCATTGTAGTTGAAACCTTTGCCTTTTGGCTTTCAAAAACAGGCTGAAAAATTTTTAATTTCAGTCTAGATTGTAAATCAGGATTTTGCTCCATGCTTAGATTTGAATAACGAGTTCCTTGCTTTGTAAATTTGTATTACTTAATTTCTAACTTCTATTATTAAACACTTAAACACGTGCAGTTTTAAATGATAAAAAGGTGTGTGAATACAGCAAATAAAGCATTCATGTTAAAAAATTATGTTTCCACTTACATCCATCGTGCAACTGGACTAAGGCCCTCTGTCAACTAAGCTTCCAGGCTAAATATTTTACCCCAGCATTTAGCTCATTTGACATATGGGAAAGTTTATCAAAACCAAACTTTAGCTTTTTGCATTTCAGTTTTTATATTTGACAATAAAAAAAAAAAAAAATTGTAATAAACTCTGAGCTCATCTGCTGATATGAAGCTAACTAAACAATTTTACAATTATGCATATTTCATTAAACTAAAAGTTTTATCAGGAGAAATCGGCCTGATTGTTCACAGACAGACTTTAATTTTTCTTTTTTTTTTTCATTTTAAAACTCAAGTTCAACAGAAAAGCTAACTATTATAATTTTAGTTTCCCTGCAAATGAAAATGATTTTTGAAGCACTGCGAGGGGAAGTGTAATGACATGATTTATAAGAGAGAAAACCTGTTTTGTTGGAATAAAACCTGTTTTGGCTAAATGTAAGGACAAAGTTAGGAGAATCAAAGTTCTTGAAGAAAATATTTTTCACTTGCATCTTCAGGCAAAACTTAATGGAGATCCATGGCTTGCTGATTAATTGCATTTAAACACATCATCTTTGTATCTTTTGGTAGCTAAAACTACCTGCAAATCATTGGAAAGATGCTGCACACTAACATCTAGTAGCAGCCATTAGTTTATACTTTAAAAGTTAAAATCAGGACTATATGATGTGACAGAATGTTAGCTCCTGCAATGTGTTGCTTCAAAGAAGTCCAAAATATATCAGTTATTCATGTACAGTATGACTTAGAGACCAGCCAGTGTATCTAAGCATGGCTATAACTTAATGCAGCCATCTGTGGCCCACTTCCACTCGGAATGTAAATCACATGTTCTCTCAAGCTACTTTGGATGCATTAACGCCTGTTCTAATGATCAGACCTTAAAAGGTGTTGTTAATATTTGAGGGGAACAGGACCGGTGTCAATCTGTTCATACTTGACCTGCAGTTCTACACACAATCTTCACAGTTCTTTGGCTTCACATGTGAACCCATAACAGGTTCACATGTCTCAGGAAATGAGAAATACTTTCCTAGTTTTTTGTTTTCTTTATTGAATAATTTGACCACTCGCAGAATATTTTGTTTGCTGCATCAACTGTAACAATAAAATTACAAATACTGTATTACTGACTTACCATTTTATACAAGTCTGACACACTTATCTGGTCTTCATCAACCATCTCAAACTCCTTCCTTGGCACCAAGTCTAGACCCAGGTGTCTGGAAAAAAGAACAAAAAGGTATTAAAACATTTAAAGGAATTTAAACCCAACGAGATAATCCAGATATAGAAGGACCTACTTGGATCACTTAATTTACTTTTTTATTTAAATTTTTTATAACTATTTTATGCAACATCAATGCTTTCTAAAAAAAAAACGTTGTTTTGTATATTTCTCTTTAATAAAAACTGGGAAAACTGTTTGAAAACCAAAGAGTTTTGTCTCAAAGAACAAAATGCATAAATGCCTCCATTATTGGTGAAGGGTTTCTCAGACAAACAAAAGGGGGGCAATGGATGCCCCAAAAAAGTGATCCCTACATCTTGTCTAAAAAAGTTTGTCTTGAGAATATTATTATTGAACAGTTGAGCCTAAATGTCGTTAATGAAATATTAAAAATCGTAAAATTTTTGCTTGAACATTCAGGAGCTTTGCATCTAAATGCAGGAAATTGCAGTATTTTACATTAGTGCTATTAACCCTGAGTACTTTCTTCTATTTGTGACCAACCTCGACACCACAGTGAGGCATTAACTTTGAGATAAAGGCAGTATTAATCATATGGTTGTTGTGTTAGACCTGCGTATGAAAGCGCTTCCTGACCTGACAATAAGACCTTCAAAGTGTCTCTATTTTCATCTATTCGATGTGAATTAACATTCAGCCTATAGATCACAGCAGCTGATCCTGCTCTTTCTGAGCTCTGACCAGCTGTAAACTGCATTAGCATTGATCCACCCAACAAGATAAGCAGCCCCTCATTAAGATGTTTTTAAGCAACCACGGTCAAAAGGGATTGGGTTAGCTCTCTGAGCCCCGTTTGCATTGATGTGTGAATATAACTGTCAATAAGCGGCTCATCTTGTGCAAAGAAAATTACAGCTGCAACAGAAGTGATTTGAATACATTTTACTCTGTATTGTTACCTGGTCCACAAATTCATCGACAACACCAGCATGATTTGTTCTTAGTGTGGAAGCCAGGAAAAAAAGGAGTCTGGCATTTGATGAGTATTGAGATTCACATTTTTAAAGTGCTACACATTACTAGAGAGAGAGAGAGAGAGAGAGAGAGAGAGAGAGAGAAAAAGAAAGAAAGAAAGAAAGAAAGAAAGAAAGAAAGAAAGAAAGAAAGAAAGAAAGAAAGAAAGAAAGAAAGAAAGAAAGAAAGAAAGAAAGAAAGAAAGAAAGAAAGAAAGAAAGAAAGAAAGAAAGAAAGAAAGAAAGAAAGAAAGAAAGAAAGAAAGAAAGAAAGAAAGAAAGAAAGAAAGAAAGAAAGAAAGAAAGAAAGAAAGAAAGAAAGAAAGAAAGAAAGAAAGAAAGAAAGAAAGAAATCCAATGAGAATTATTTGCCCATAACCATCCAGACCTGTAAAACCACTAAACCAATTTGTTGGATTATTTACAAGAAAGCTTATGACTCAATGCCACACACGGATCCTAAAAAGCCTGAAGCTGTACAAGATCTCACAGCAGGGTGCCAGATATTGGCACCCATGACCAAGTGGCTGCTATAGTGAACAGAAACAACTGTGCAAAATACAAACTGAGGACCCCCGGTCAAAACGGAAGCCACCTCCCAAGGTGGTGGAGAATGACAGAGGTAAGATCCAGTAGGACTTCCAGATCCAAATAGACAATATGGTTGAGGCCAACCAGGAGGACATTGTGCTCACCGATAAGCAGCAGAGGACAGCCGTAGTGATCGATGTGGCCATCCCAAATGATGGAAACATCACAACAGAATTTGGAAAAATACTAAGGGCTCAGGAAAGACCTAGAAAGAGCCTGGAAGGTGAAGGCAATGGTAGTGCAGGGGCTGTCATCATTGGAGCACTGGAAGCAATAACATGCACACTGGAAAAGTGGCTCCAAAAGATACCTGGAGATACATCAGACATTTCAGTTCTGGGGATGGATGGATGGATGGATGGATGGATGGATGGATGGATGGATGGATGGATGGATGGATGGATGGATGGATGGATGGATGGATGGATGGATGGATGGATGGATGGATGGATGTCTGAGCTCCCTGGCTTCCAGGTCCCTTCACTTTAAAGCCTTTTGTCTCTCAGTATATCTGTTTTCCTTCAGCCGTCTTTCACTGAGTTCATGAATCTTTCCAGCTTCTGGTTATAATCATCTTTCTGCTTCTGAAAATCACTTTTATTGCACAGTGGAGGCATAGAGACACCCACTCATCTGATGATAACAAGGCAGGGAAAGTTAAACACCTTAAATCAAAACTTCTTATATATCTGACAACTTGTGTTTTTGATGGGTCTGAAATTCTGCATGATCTTAAAGTAGACTTTGTATTGATGTTTAGGGTGTGGATTTTAAATCCAACTTTACTTTGATGTGCCTCCAGCATAAATTAGAAAATGTGTTTCTTATAAGCATATGTTTTCTCACTCGTTGCCCCAGTCGAGTCTGACGGTGATGTGTCTCTTGACGTCTCTGCTCTGGTCCTGTGTGAGGTGACCGGACAGCAGCTGCCTCCTCAGGTCGATCAGCTCCATCATCACGTGGCGGACCTTGTAGAACAGATCCACCTTGTGTTTCTAATGAACAAAGAAACAACATGATTATAGTACGGCTATCAAGGTATTTAACATTTATTTGACCAACAGATTTCAAAATAAGTTTAAAGAGCATTACAACAGGTAAATGTGTTTAGTCGACAGTTTTTAGGGAGAATAAATACTGTAATTTTCCTATTGACAGTTGCTTCTGTGAGCTGATGAGTTATTTATTCACTTCAATATTTCTTTAATTTAAAAGATCTGGATCCAAGTGCTTTTATTGGTTTCATTGGTATTTTGCTAATTATTAATTAGCAGTATACTGTCTGATTTTAATAAAAAAAAAAAAAAAATATATATATATATATATATATATATATATATATATATATATATATATATATATATATATATATATATATATATATATATATATATATATATATATATATATATAGGAGGAGGAGGAGATAGAGGCTACTGACATCAAGACGAGAAAGCTCCTCACAATGCATGGAGGGTTCCACCCCAAATCCAGCACTCTGAGACTGTACACCAAGCGTAGCGAGGGAGGCCGAGGGCTAGTGAGTGTCAAGACCACTGTCCAGGATGAAACAACTAAGATCCAGGAGTACATCAGAAAGATGCCCCCCAAAGACAAATGGCTTGGTGAGTACCTCAGGCAGGAGAAAACCGAAAGTGAGGACAAGAAAGATGAAGGAGAACCATCATCGAGGGACAAGCCCCTGCACGGCGTATACCACAGACAAATAGAAGAAGTGGCTGATATCAAAAAATCCTACCAGTGGCTGGAAAAGGCTGGACTGAAGGACAGCACAGAGGCACTAATCATGGCAGCACAAGAACAGGCACTCAGTACAAGATCAATAGAGGCCAGGGTCTACCACACCAGGCAGGACCCCCGATGTAGACTGTGCAAAGATGCCTCTGAAACAATACAGCACATAACAGCGGGGTGTAAAATGCAGGCAGGAAGTGCATACATGGAACACCACAACCAGGTAGCTGTCATAGTGTACAGGAACATCTGCCATGAGTATGGGCTGGAAGTCCCAAGGTCAAAATGGAAGACACCTCCTAAGGTAGTTGAGAATGACCAAGCTAAGATCCTACGTATGGGACTTCAAGATCCAGACTGACAAACAGATGATGGCTAACCAACCAGACATCGTGTTGATCGACAAAAAGCAGAAGAAGGCAGTAGTGATTGATGTGGCAATCCCAAGCGACAGCAACATCAAGAAGAAAGAACACGAGAAGCTTGAGAAATACCAAGGACTGAAGGAGGAGCTAGAAAAGATGTGGAAAGTAAGAGCAGCAGTGGTGCCAGTGGTAATTGGAGCACTGGGGGCTGTGACCCCCAAACTGGGAGAGTGGCTACAGCAGATTCCAGGTAAAACATCAGAGGTCTCTGTCCAGAAGAGCGCAGTCCTAGGAACAGCTAAGATACTGCGCAGAACCCTCAAACTCCCAGGCCTCTGGTAGAGGACCCGAGCTTGAGGATGACACATACCACCCATCGAGGGGTGAGAAAACAGTTTATATATACAGTATATATAGTAATTATAAAACACAAGCTATTTTTCTGCAAACATGTTAATACAGAGCATTGAAAATCAACATTTTCTGAGCATCCATTTGGATACCCCCAGCACATTTTAAATTACACACAGTTGTATCAAATCAGATGCATATGATGAGAACATCAGTTGTCATAAAAGAAAGGAGATCTCCTTTATAGAAATTATAGGAATTTAGCTTGACGTTCTTCTGACACCTATAATGAACATGAAGACCACTGTTAGATCAACAGTCTCTTTGAGGATTTCAGTAACAAGTCTGTAGCATCTTATGAGGCTAGTGGGGGGTTAAAAACGGCCCCGACCGTTTTTATCAGTCATTCCACTGCATAGAAAACCTAAAATAATACCAGTCAATATGTCCACATCTAACCATCCAAGAAGTTCACAATGATAATAGACTGACAAGTAATGAAAGATTTCTTTAAACTGAAATGTTAGAGGTACAGCAGGTTATTACTACTATTAGTACTATTAGTACATGTCTGAACAATCGTAGCACAAGTCATCACAAGTTTAAAATAATGGCTTCATTGCCATCCCCTTAATCTTTAGCTTCATCTACAGATTGTAATTTAAATTGTTGTGACTCTGGCTGGATGCTCCTAAACATTAAAATGACTTTTCCTTTACATGGTGCAGTTTCCACTCAGGAACTATAAGGGGCTTTTTACAACAAATAGGCTTGTTAAACTGCTCAGTTAGAAAGCCAGTTTATTGTTGAATGTAGCTAATTTTTATGTAACGTTACTATCAGTTTACACCAAAATAAAGCCAAAGAGTTGAAAGCAGAAACAAATTAAAACGCATGTCCTAATCTCTGCTTTACCCCAAACCCTTTCTTTGTTTTGCTGTTTATACTTCATCTGTTGAAAAAGAGGGTATTTCTATTTATATAGGCATTAAAGCATCATTCTATGGTTTATTGTTTCATTATTGTTCTTGCAAATAAAGATACCATATGTGAAAAAACAATACTGCAGTATAGTGATATGAGTTATACGTACAGCATTAACAGATAGTATTTAAAATCATAAGGAAGCATCCCTACCAACCTTTAGTCAATGTTTTTACTCAAATTAATTTATGAAAATAAAAAAACATGTTATGGACAACATAATTTACTGTAATAGCAGTAGAAATATGCTTTTCTTTAAAAAAAAAAAAACAATTAAATCATGTCACAGTCAATAAAGCCGTGCAAATACTGCATTACCATTTCAAAAGGGGATGAAATAATCTCATATGGGCCCATGCCTTCACATAATTAAATAAATGCTTTCTAATAAACAGACTAAATTCAGCATCATAGAGTTATGAAAATATAAATCTGTGGCTTCCAGGCCTCGTAAGCAAAGATTAGACTCCTATTGCCAGGGCTTAATCCAAAAAGTTCTGAGTTGAAACATGTTCACAAATAATGAACACACACAAGCTGAGGCACAACCTCCCCTGCAAACACACTTCTCCCCCAAAGCTGCTGTATTATTAGTGCTCTAATTTATCCTAAAGGCCTTGAACAGAAGGCTGTGGGGTTAAATGATCCCTCTGGTTTTGGCAGACAACTGCATAGACAGGAGAAAAACAGATGCATTGACCACAGAATGTACACTTTCTATGTACTGAACATGTACATGCAGATTGTCACTGAGAGTTAAAGAGTATAGGATTTATAAAAGCCTGCAGTGCCAATCATTATTAAGTACTGTAATTCTTATATAGTTTTTCTCAAATACAATTGTAGAATATTACATGTGCATATCTACCATAAATAAAGCAGATAATTTCATACATGGTCGCTTATTCCACATGCTCCTACAGTAGCTTGGCAATAAAATATTAATGAGAACTTCCCATGATGTAAACAACATATGTAGAGGTCAGGAGTTGAATCCAGCTGGAGAAAAAAAAAAGAGCAGCAGACAAGAAATTTCTTATATTCCAGACAATATCTCCATGTTTCTATCAAAGGTCTGATTCTTCCTATATAAGGAGTCAAAAACACACAGAAGTTTTCTTTGCATTTCAACTATTACATAAATGTGGCTGCAGTGGAGGTGGAGCTGTTTTTGGGAACTTCAGTTTGAAAAAATAAGACAACAAGAGTTATTTCTTTAGAGATTCCAGTGCTGTTCTCACAGTACTGTACATGACGTTATGAACATGAACATGAACCTGAAAAATATTACAAAAAGACCAAACGGGACACAGATATTATACAGCTTCACCTCAGAAGATACTAAATCTTTTAATATATTTCTGAATATGTGTGGGGATTTGTTGTGTAAGATGGATATCCTGTAGCAGCCAAGGTTTGCTGCCATTGATTCCTTAAATTCTGCACCTCTGCAAAGACTAACTAATCCCTGCCTAAACCTACAAGTTCATTCAAATTGTGGAACAGCTATTTCAGGCATCTAAGCTTAAAACTATTTTAAACTTTTACCTTTAGTTCTTGTTGACCTGACGTGAAATGAAGTAAAAAGAAAAAGGATATAATTTAAAAAGTTGTATTATATTGAATGAAATCCTATTATAGACAGTTGTATGGTACTCATAAAGCCCCATTACTTGCTGCTACATGTACTGTAATATTAAGCATGTTTTGTATATGTTTTGAATTGCATATTAAATTTGAATGACTGAAAATAATTTGTAAGGCAAAGGTTGAAATCTACTGTAAAATAGAGAAAAACTGCAGCATTTCCTTTCAGATGTGGTCAGAGGAATGTGAAATCATGCTGGCTTGTAACTTTGTTTTCAGATATTTGTTTATTTTCACACAATCTGATTTTAACTCAAATTTACTCTCTAAACTGAAATGACATGAAAAAAAAAATGAATTCCAAATTGCAACCCAAAGAAAACACTTACTTAAAACCAAAGTGAGATTACTTCCCTAAGACTTAAACCATTTCATTAAGACAGAGAGAGAGAGACTGCTGACATCCAAAATACTAAAAGATAATTACACTTAAAATGAATGCAGGTATAATGTGGAGACTTAGATATTGAATAAAAGAGGTGCTCCATAGATATGCTAGATGTGCTGATGAATATTGATGTGAAGCTCAATAAAGGGTGGAAAACCAAAGGAATAAAACTGAAAGAATAAAACAGAACCAAATGTCAGAAAAACACCAAAATCATGTGAATAACTCAAATCTTAGCTGAACATTGGTAGTTAGCTGAACAGCTTTGATGACTTTTCCAACATAACACTCTGCTTTAAAAGAAATTCTTTGAAAAAAAAATATCAAAACAGCTCTGCCCAGTTTGCAGTCTATGAACTCAAGTGTTTAAAGAAGAGACCGTCTGGTTCCCTGCTGTTCGAGTTGGTTGTGAGCAGTGGTGAAACTCTGAGGCAATGCATCCAAGAGAAAATTCTCATCACAAAACCAGCCTCTATTTCTACATTGCTCCTGCTTGGAAACCTGC